TGGGCTTGTGTTATAATTACCTCTTTATCTCCTAACAAATGTAAATCAGACATGGGTCGTCCATTACAGTTAATATTATCAACTTCCTTCTGCCAAACATTCATCATTTCCTCCTTGGAGGGCAGTTTAAAATCACCCTTTAAAAGTGCAGTGGTGTAATGAACCTGAGAAATAAATAAATAAAATAAGAGTTAAGTAATAGAAACACCCAGAAGAAATTTACAGATGTGTGTGGTGTTTCCCGTTGGGCCAATCGGCCTGGCGTACCCATTTATCTGTACAATGGGTATTTATTTTTTTATTATATGGAGTTAATCTGCCGAATCGGAAATATCAATCGTTTTTTTGATAGCGCCGATTTTGATATAAACATAATGGGCGCAATGATAAAATATCGCATTGGGCAATCGGCCATTGGTAAATACGCAATGTATGTACTCAATTAACCCGCTATTAGTCATCGTTGTTTACTGAGGCTTAGTAGTCCTTTATTTAAGCTCATCTCATGTAGACGTGCAAAAGATGATGTCATAAATTTACTTTACCTGAGCGTCTAAAGCTACGACGTGGCAGGCGCGCCTCACCAGCCCCAGTACCACCATACTTGGTTCATTTATATTCACAAGGCGTTTGTACAAGGGGAGTACATGGTCTTTGTTGACTGTTAACCCACATGATGGGTCCAAGTAAGGATATGTATAGCTAAATCCTGAAAAAGTATTGTTATGATGAATTGAAATGTTTGGAGAATTGCTTGGTCGATGCAAGAAAATAGTCAATGGTACAGTTATTCTCAAACAAGGAAGACCCGGTGAGAGGGGCGCAGCTATCGTTGACAGTCTTGTCAGAAAATATGTATAAAACCTTCTTATACAGATAAAACATAAAAGAAAAAGTGACATGAAAATTAAAATACTTAAATTATGTTCTGACACTTTTCCTATTTTGTAATAAGGGCGCTTGTGAGCTATCATAATATAGTTTGACTTATGCCCACCCGGTCAGATATAATTGTCTGTATTATAAAAATGACACTTACCAGTGCAATAAATAACATCGTCAATCTCTTCATAAGTATCGTCAACAAAAACGACTCCATTTTCTTTAAATTCTTTGATATCTGGTTTTCTTATATATTGGTCTGGGAACTTTGTTTTAATGTTTTGTTTAGAATGATGGCTGTGCACCACTGTCTTAGCGTACTTAAGCATATCTATGATAATATCCCATGCTGAAGTTCCCGCTCCGACAATTAAAACACGATGATTTTCGTAATCATTAGGTATCCTGTAGTTTTTGGTATGTAAGAAATCTCCTGGTAAGAGGAATTTCAAATTTTGAAATTCAATCGTAAAATAGACATGTGTTTTTGTAGATAACAAAAACAAATGTCTCTTTTATTCTCTTTGTTAAACAGAAACAGTGTGCCTAGCACGAATATTTGTGATCATTTGTTCAGCACCTCTTTTGAGAATACACGAAAAATCTCATTATAATTAAGAGCGTCAGTGGCTCAGGGGTTTAAGCACTTGACTTGCAATCTGCAGGTCCTGGGTTCGAATATGTGTGAAGTCAACCAACCCGCACTGGGCCAGCGTGGTTTACTAGGGCCTAGTCACCCGTAATATAGGGTAGGCTCCGAGCCCCTTAGTGGGGACGTATAGTGAGCTGATGATATTATATATAATTTAGATATAACTGACGATGACAATACGAAGATGATTGTCACAAATATTCGTGCTAGGCTCGCTGTAAGAGTGTGGTCCAACAAGAGACGCAAGGCGCAGCGACTCTTGCGGGATAGTCATGGGGCACATGGTATTTTCGACTACGAAATGTTAATTTTAATGTTTTTTTCAACTTCTAAATAAAAATAAATAAATAAACTTTTACCCCTTATTTCCAAAAACAACTATGTAAAGTAATATGTATAAATGATTTAAAAACCTTTAAAAAGTTCTTCATTTGGAAATTTAGGTACATTAGCATTACTGAAGTGACCAGTTCCTATAATAATAAAATCATATTCATCTTCATGAACTGTATTCATTAGTACATTGTCATGTATCACTTTCCATGCATTTCCCTCTCGCCTCACTGATGTAACATTTTGAAGCAACTGTAAAAGGATATTAAATTTTTAATATTAAATTAAACATTTATAACTGCAATTAAATCATAAATATCGTGAATGGAATTTTACTTTGATCAAAAACTATAGAAAGGTGAATATACACTAGAGCATTTACAGCAACCATTTCTATGCAAGGTAAAAGCAGTTTCTAAAACCAGTGTGATTTGTGAAAGGGTGATACACTAGAACATATTATAGAGTGGCTCTTTGTTCTGTTACAAGTAAATGCTCTAGTCTATACTCACCTCTAGAAACTGACATATTCTAAACTTAATCAGTTCATTATTTCGTTGATTACTTACTAATAAACGCTATTTTGTTGAAGCTATGTAAAATATTGTGATTTTATTTTTATCAACCCAAAAATTTATGTGGTTTCTCATTTGCTGGATTATTTAAATGCTAAGAAAAATGTAGTTATTCTGATGTTTATCAATTTACCTGTATATGCTCCATTAAGTTAAAATGTTCTGCATAACGTTGGATATAGTAGTAATATAATTGGGCACTAGAAAAAAAATGCATATGTTTTGGCAAAGGGTATCCCCGTAGTTCCATTGCAGGATGTGGCAAATTTAATCTAAAATTTTAATTAAAAATATTGTTATTAATAGACACACATAGATGCTGCCAGAATGGCTCAACGGATCTAGAAAAATTTGACATGAATGTAGAACATAGTATGAAAGATCACATAGGCTACTAATTAGTTTTTTTTAATACCGCGCAAAAATAATAATTTCAGTGCTATATTAGGTTAATGCATTGAAAACTGCCTGAGAAATCAACACTTTGTCAAAGTAAAATCCTATTTAACCTGTACCTTAAAGCAAATATTTGTATTGCAATTAATGTATGTAATTATAAATTAAAAAAGTATAATTTTTATTTTAAATAATAATTTATGCTTATCAGATAAACTAGTATATTTATTACATACTAGCTGTCGCCCTCGACTTCGTCCGCGCATAATAAAAAAATACATAATTAATAGCCTATGTGTTCTTAAAGACTTTGTTCTACATCTATGCCAAGTTCAGCTAGATCCATTCCGCCATTTATATGGGAAAAAGAAAAGGGCTGTTTATAAGGTTATCCCGGTAATTAATAAAAATTTTCTCGAGCTATAGCAAGACTAAGGAACAGTAATTGATTTTTATATATAAAGATGTCATAAAGCAATATCTTACATTGATAATATAGTTACTCAATATCTTTGGATTAAATAGTTCTAAGAAATAATTGAAATACAAACATTAATAATTATGCTGATAACATCTTAAGAAGCTCTCTCTAAATATTTGGAATCGGAGCCACATACAAAAGGCAGTTATTTTTGAAACCGCATGCATAGCAAGAATGTCCCTGTCTCTGCGGCCCTGACCACTGGTTGCCCGAGTGATGAGATTCTTCAGGTGGTGGTGCACTATTTTTTATACATGTTCTATTATATTTTTTAGAAATGTACTTTATTTTAATTTAGAAAATAAATAAGTATGTATAATGCTGATATAATAGTAATAATCATGTTTCAACTTTATGACTTAATGATCTGCAAAAGTTCATGACTGATTGATCAGGAAGCTTAGATTTTTTTATAATAAATTTCCCACAACCCCACATTCCATTTCAATACTTACAGAATGTCTAAGTAATAGTGGCTTACCTTAAGTCTGCAAACATAGCTGTATGCAGTATTGAGTCAAATTCATCATAATCTATCCCTGCATATCTCCACATACCACCTACGTAGTATGAACATTCTAGTACAGTAAAGTCTATTCCTTCATCTTTTAAATATTTTGCAGAAGTAAGACCAGCAATCCCAGCACCAATAATACAGACACGAGGTCCATTTGGTTTAGCCTGAGAACACATTATTATATTTCTAATTATAAATAACTGTGATTTAGTAATCTTTTGTTAGTTGCCTCTTTTGTTTTGAATTAGATAATGCCTGATGTTGTAAATCTTAATAATATTTTTGAATTAAAAAAACAAGGAAATCAAGTACAAGTTTATTAATTTTTAAAATATTGAATATATTGTCCAATGCGTTCTTTGATTGCACAATGTTATCAAATTCTTGGGAACCATGAGTGTGTTACTCATGCAAAATATTGCACAAGCTTATGTTGTTAATGCAAGTATATTTGTATTACATCCAAATTTTGTCTAATTATGCATTGGTAACAATTAAGGTGGCAACAGTAGCTTGTTTACAACATTGCTCCTTGACCATCTAAAAATAAGCAAATCTTTTATTAGGAAAATGAACTTACCATGATTAATTTGTCGAAATTGATTTATTCTTTAAGTCGTTAAAGGCGGAGTATCTATTCTATCTTCGTGGGGAAACAAAATCGAAGTTAGATTGGGAGCGACCTACAGCTTAGACCAATTACACTAAACTACTAAATGAGAAAAATTTAAGGCAAAAAAAGATGTTGTTTACATGAGCTACATATTTATATTATTACTTGACATTGACTTACATTTGACAGTGACAGGATCGTATGAAAACATTTTTTTTTATATTTATGACCTGGTAACATAGACCTTTAGGTCATATGGAAACGGAAAGAAAGAAGACTAGAAAGAAGCAGAGATTAGGTACTCACCTGATCTTTTTCATTTCTGTTCATAAACACGATAAAATAAAACAAAAAAGCCTTTTCTCTGTTTTTATTTTGCACTCTTTTGAGAAGATTTCGCAAAAGCCTTTCCACATAAATCAAAAACGTCTAGATTATAATAGATAGAAACTAAAATACCGATGAATATGTCATTGGAACTCATATTTATAGTCTAAATTAAGGTAAGGCACTATTGTTCGCGGGCTTCATTTCTGACTCAAGGCGCCTTGTGAAAGTATTTCTGTCTAAGACTTCGTACACGTAGTTCCTGTAGGTGTAAAGGTTTTCGAGCTTTGCTTCGGTGTCCATCGTGCGTATTTTAAACATGACAGGAGGAACTCGATCTATGCCTGATTCTTCAGACATTTCTTCATAATATTGGTCCTGAAATAACAAGTTTCAAAAATTTACAATGAAAATTGCACATAAATTCAACTTTTTGGATATATACTATAATTTCATTTATATGTCATGCAATACACTCTTTCTTTAGAGGTGCTTATTCAAAAAAATACCTCTTTCTCTGCCAAGAAATGAATATCAGAAATTGGTCGTCCTTTAGAACGAATAATGTCTGCCTGCTTTTGCCATTCACTCATCATTTCTTCCTTAGAAGGCAAAGTGAAATTCCCTTTTATCAAGGCTGTTGCATAGCGGGCCTGAAATGCAAGACAAGTATTACAAAAGTAAGTAGTTAAAAGTCAATATTTTTTTTTATAAATATGCGAGTTATTACCTGGGCGTCTATTGCGACTACAAGACATGCTCGTATAACCAGTCCCATTACCACCATACTTGGTTCATTTATGTTCACCATGTATTTGTGCAGGGGGATAACACTGTGCTTATCGATCGCTAGGCCACATGATTTATCCAGAAATGGATAGTCATATTCGTATCCTAAAACATACAAAGCTCATTTCATACATGTAGGTGAGTACCTATAGAAAATTAAGCGCCATATATTTTGATTAAGAAGACAATAAGTTGGAAGATAATATTACCAGTACAATATATAACGTCATCAATCTCCTCATAGGTACCATCAACAAAAATAACTCCGGTTTCGTTAAATTCCTTGATATCGGGCTTCCTGATATAGTGGTCCGGGAAATTCGTTCTAAAGTTCACCTTGGAATGGTGGCTGTGGACGAGGGTTTTCGAATATTTTGCTACATCTAAAGCGATGTCCATTCCAGAAGGACCCGCACCGACGACCAGGACATGACGGTTGGTGAACACGTCAGGTACTCTGTAGTCGTGGCTGTGGATTATTGTTCCTGGAAATTGTTAGTTTTGATAAATTTAATATAATATTTACCATTATTCTTATCTACTTCATGATTCTGATAATTCTTATAGAACTATTGATTCGTTACCATTCTTAAAAGAGTAGGTGTGGAGATAAAAGGCACATTAGACAATATATTCATCGTCACCTTACTTACCTGACTAAACGAAGAGGTACATGACTACTTCACTTTGGTCACATGAATAGATAAACGGTTTATCTGCTTATGTGCTTTGATGTAGTATTAGGTGAAGTTACTCGATCAAGTTAGATGTAACGTGTCGGAAAGTTTTATATAAAGATTTAAAGGTACCTTTAAAAAGTTTTTCATGTGGAATTTCTGGCATATTAGGTTTACTGAAATGGCCTGTCCCAACTATAACAAAGTCGTAGTCTTCCTCGAACTCCTCGCCTTTTAGTATATGTCTGTGTTTCACTTTCCACACATTCCCTACCCGTTTTACTGATGTTACGTAATGCAGAAACTGAAACAAGTTACAAGTTTATACATTTTGTAATTAGTGTTGTGAGCTATATGGCCAAAATGGCCATAGTATCTGATTTCTAATATGTTTAAATAGAAATTGCGTGCCTAACAATTAAATAACTCCTTGTTTAAAGTTTAGGATTACTTATGTACACATTACACTACAAAAACACTTTTAAATATATGAAATAGCGATATTGATGAAAAACAGCATAAGATTAGATTGTAAAAATAATATTCAAACATACTTTTTATTACCTTTATATGTTTGTGCAAATCAAAATGAGTCGCATAGGCCTTTATGTACTCATAATATACGTTCCAGCTAGGGAAGGATTGCATTTCTGTTGGCACAGGAAATCCACGCAGTTCCATTGTTGGTTTTGGTAAGTTTGTTCTGTAATTAGAATTGGATTAGTTTTTCTCGACATTTTGTATTAACTTTGTCATACGAGTGAAAGTCGTATGCTATGGGTTGTGAAATGTAAGCAAATAAAGTGCTAAACATTCTGTACTGATCTATTATTTTCATTATATTATTACAATTACCTAAGTGATCTGCAAATAATACTTTTTTTCCCAATAAACCTTAGTCATTTACCTTAAATGCATATACATGCTTGTGTGTAAAGGTAAACCGTTTTCATCCTTTCCCACTCTGGGGTCATATCTCCACGTACCGCCAATGTATCTGGTGGATTCGAGAACGGTGAAGTTTATTCCTTCATCTTTCAAATATTTAGAAGAAGTAAGACCCGCTATGCCTGCGCCTATGATGCAGACTCGTGGACTATTTGGTCTAGCCTGAAAAAAAAATTATATCGTTAAAATTTATTAAATAAATCTTAAAATCATTTCATCATCACCATATCTCTTTAGACTACAAAAGGTATGTTTTTAGTTCTAGATATGAAGTCAATATTAGCTGGGTACAAATTTTGCCAATGGCATGTTTAAGATGGTTTATAATTCTGCATATGTCGCACACTAATGATCTAATTTGGCGATAAAAAGATTATTTCTTCGACATATTATTTTTTCTCTTACAATTTATTGCTCGCTTATTTTGCTAAGCGCTGTGTTATAATACGACCAATTACAGATTGAAAAAATTAAGATTTAAATCGCATACTTTTTTTTTGTTTGCATTATGCCACCATGTTTTTTTTATATCTTTATAGTGTTTTAAAACATGCCGTACCAAATAGAGAAAAAGAGTTTCAACGTATTTTTCTTTGTTTCACCTCAATTTCTTTACTCTGTACTCACAGCTGCTCACAGCCGTCCTTGACAAGAATGTCAAAGTCAATAATATTGTCTGTGGTCGCAATAACAACTCAAAACCTTAATCAATATATTTAATATAAATTAGATTTTACATATAAGTATACAACTAATAATATAGCAATTACATAAGTCGTTGTTTTGTTATCAAGGCACTGTAATTGTTTAATAACCATGTACTGTTTTCTCTAAAAATTCTGTTAGTTTTACTGTTAATTTTACTTTAATTGTTTATTGTATTAAATGGAAATATGAGGCTTTAAAATGAAAAACGTCGTCATTAAAAGCAAAAGCACTGGACTTACCATATTTTACTTTATCGTTTTCGAGTAAAAACTATATTACTTCAAAACTAATCATATATTACTAATTCAATTGTTTTACGTATCTTTAACGACTGTCAAGTCCACACCTATATTTTGTCAAACAAGTGACTGCGCGGAATTCAAATTACCATCACAGCCAAAGTTTAATACGAATGATGACAGATACATATATTCGATAAACTAAGATAGTGTGAATAGCAATATCACAGAAACGTAAGTCATTGTTTATAATATTTATCACTGAGTTGTGCAAATATTCTCGAATGATAAATTGATAGATCCAAATCGACTGGAGTAAAATTTGTTTTCATATCATGTTTCAATAAGAGTTTTGTATACACGTAAGACGCGATACTTGATATTTTATGAATATAGCTATCCCGTTTTTTGTTCGGGGTATGAGAGGGATGGGAATATGATCTAAATACTAATGCTACGCTAATGGGGATCCTCTGTGAGAATCATCTTCTGCTTGTAATAGCAAAACTATGTTACACACATAAATTTGAAACAGAAGAATTAAGAAAATAAAAAAATCAAATTTAGAACAAAAAAGGTACGAAAAGTTTTATCATTTTTGTTATTTCGAGCATAGTATTTGAAATATAGTAATTGTCCATAAGCAGCTGAATAAATACATGTTGTTTTTAAGTAATCGGTGATGTCGCTTAGTCTACATATAATCAGAATTATTACATACGAACTTATTTACCTGATTGACTTTTATATTGTATCCATAAACAATATTTAATTGCAAACACAAATAACTCATAAATAATATTAAACATCGCAATAAAATCATTTTAAACATTGTAATAAATAATTATATTACTTCTAATTTATACAGTTCAGATAATACTACGACGATTAGCAGTTTGTATTGAACGTATTGGTCAAATGACCTCTTATATATTAAGGTGAATTCAAACTGCATTCAAATTCTTAGAAGGAGATGAGACAGGTTTGGTTTTTTATTTCTCTACACGACGGAGATTTAACTGATAAAGAGGTTAAAAAATGGTGATAATTCCAGCGCTAGTGATATGTCATAACATATAGATGGAGTGTTTTATACAAATTTTTAATTTTTTTCACACATTGCCTGCCGCTGCCAGCTCCGGATACAGAATAAAAAGGTTATAAATATATTTTCTACAGAATGATTGGGTTTCAATTTCATGACAGTACAAAAACATATCGACATCTCTCTATTTCTCTTCAAAAATCAGAGACAATAATATTTTTCGTACTGATTTCAGCAGTGGAAATTCACGATCAGAATTAAAATTATTGAAACAAGGTTTCCAAATACACTTAAGACGTTTCTTGTTGATTTGAACCATCTAATCTTCATTTTTTACATTATATCATCGATTTATTTAAAAGATATAAAAAATATTTGACAGCGATAAAGCAATGGCTTTACCTTATCATAAAAATCATCATGTCATTTGATATAAAAAGTTATTGCAATGCCAAGATAAAATAAATTCTTTTTTTAAATTGCACGGAATTGGAAGTTTTTTTTTAATACATAACTCCTTAGCCCTTCAATTTGTTACAATTTTAATTTTAATTTTCTGACAGATTAAAAACTACGACTTAAAATTCTTTATAGAAAAAAGTGTTATGCACAGTTAATTGAAAAATTATTTTTAACAGGCACATTAAACTCTTTATGTGTAACTTGCAAGAAAAAAAAAGAAAATCGCAGAATTAACGATAAAACTATAAACAATCTAACAACTAATAGCAGGAATACGGTGATATTAATATAATTTTATAATTTTTAAAAAGTGTTAGTGTGGACATATCCTAAACAAAGCTTTGATCTTTTCATTGACACGTTCAATCGTTATCGACTACTGTCAACAATATTGTTAGTTGAATGTTTAATTTAATTCGCTGATAATAGTTTAATAGTCAATTTAAATCGTTATATTTGTCAAGATCATGATCAAGATGTTTTCAAATTAAAACAAGTCTTCCTCATAAACCACTTAGGAATCTGTGTACTTTTGTGTTTTTTCTTTATTTTTTACTTTATAAGAAATTAGATTGGAAGACGATTTCGTAGGCTCTTGTCGCGTAATACCATGTGAGAATATCGGAAAGCCCAGAGGTGCAAATTAAATTCGGAAGGGGCCATTCGTCGCCGACAACCGTATTATATTTTAAATTGACCATGGAAAAGAATTTTATTGAAGGTCACGCCCAATGCAGTACGTTCAAACAGAGAGATGTGCAGAATTATAAAGAAAGAATTGATATTTTAATTAGAAAAAACCTACCATAAAATGTTAGCTTATCTTAGGTACGTATACTAAAACATTAAACCATCTTTTTTATTTAAAAAATGTGACAACAGAATAATATAATATGTGTACTTTAGCAGTATAGATTCATGTATATAGCAACTGAGCTCTGCTCTTACGGGAATAAACATTTTAAATAATATTCTCAATTCTCTACCAGAGTTTCAAACACTTTAGTATGAAATGTCTCATAAAAATATTTACCAACGCATGATTTGTAATCCGATTATAAACCAAATCTCCGATATAAAAGAGAATATATTAAAAAGATCAAAACGTGGGTAAATGTGGTAAGTTTAGTTGTACTGCGGGTCACATTGGCTCCCTCGTAGATTAGCCGGGCGCAGTAAGAGGGTCGTGCGAATCACCGCCCATTCACTCCGTCCAATTCAAACTTCAATCCTATTAATTTTTGCCGAACTCGGAACTGTATGCATACGTTTTTATGACTTGAAATATATTTATAACCATAAACAGGGAAAAAATCCAACTATGATAAATATAAATAATTGAAAGTCAAAACAATTCTATTAAATTTAATTTCTAAAATGATTCTTTACAGTATAAAAGGCAAATTTCTGGATATATGCCGTGCCTAATTCATAGTGTGTGGTCATCCGCCTTCCTCATCTAACGACATTCCGCCGTTCCTACTAACAATTTTTATAGTCTTCCAAAAGTCGAAATTCGATTAATGTTTTTAAGATTCAGAATTGTAATTATTACATTTCCTATTGGTCAACTAACAGATAAGTAATATTTTTCGCGAGCATGAATATAATAGCTGTCTTTCGAGTTCATACGTGGATAAAAAAAAATAGTTGTAAACATATCCCATGTTACCCGAAAATAGTGTAGCTACCCAAATATGCAAGAATTTTCCAGATCGGTTCAGTGCTTTTTTCGGAGTCTATTCAATGCAAACTCAAATTTAATGATTCATCGGTTTTGAAGAGTATAATTTTTTTTTAATTTTTTTTCGAGTCTTATGAAGTCAGATGGGCTTATAATTTCATTGTTACTACTACTAGTAGTTTTATTTATAAAATAAACTAAATGTAATATGTCATAGCTATTAAATTCCTATTGACATGAACATGAAGTCGCTTTGAAGTCTAATGAACGAGGAATGCGCCCTCCGGCAAATTGACAGCTGCCTGTTGGATGCCTACTCTATTAAATATTCCGTTAATTGATAAATACTTGACCATTGGTGTGTGTAATCGAATGTTCATACACATATCACTTGATAAACGAAATTGTACCTTGATTGTTACATGTTAAGGTTTGTTTTGAATTGTATTTTATTGTTCAGATGTCAAATATCGTGTCGATAGGTGACCACTGTGAGGTTTCATAAAGGCTCGTATAGGACGGACTTTTTTAATTGATATTTTACTTTCTACCTGTTTTCAGTACGATATAGTCTATTATTAGTACTTATGAATTATTACACTAGGTGTCGGCCGCGACTACGTCCGCGCGAGATGCAAAAATAACTAGAAGCATATGTGTTCTTCCAGACTATGTTCTACATCTATGCCAAAATACAGCGAGATCCATGCAGCCGTTCAAGAGATACCTTTAAACAAACATCCATCCATCCAGCCATACATCCATCAAGAATAATTGAGTAAATTAAACTAAATAAATAAACTTCTTGGGTAATCTATTAACTTAGTGTAAAGGTTAAGAATAAAAAAGAAATATATTGCCAGCAACATAGTATAGAAATAATAAAAAAAAAAATAGATCTTAGGCAAAACACTAAAAAATATAACGACATATTGTTTAATATTACCATTGCAACTTCACTTACAATATTTAAAACAATACAATGTATTCTATTTTATCAAAACAGAGTTGCATTGAGACAAAGGGAATCATTAAAATAATGATATTCATGCATGATATTGCAAAGTTTACTCGCAAACCACTTTTCAGCCTTTGTCCGAAGTGACCGACACAAACTGACCACATAGACAAAGGTAACTTGTTCTCATGAAAACTCCACCGATGTCCACTCTTCTGTGAAAAACACAATTGAATATTTACTGAAATGGAAACCTTTATTATTTTACTTATTATTATACAAAGATGTTTATTTCGTACTATATTTCGTCTTAATGGGACGAAAAATCGTACTTCCTCCTAATAAATGCGAACGTTTAGAAATATAGATGTAAGTGTGTTTGAAGGTATCTCCAGGACTGCTGAACGGATCTCGATGAAATTTAGCATACATATATCACATAGTCTATCATAAACTAAATATGATTTTTTTTTAATTCCGCGTGGATGGAGTCTCATATAATTGTCGTTTATAATTGTTATAATTAAACTACACAAGAGAAATAAATGTGAAAGTTATTAATCGTCGAGTCGTAGTCTACTACATAATCGTTTAGTCTACTATTTTTAATGATAAATTATAAGGTTAAAAACTTAAAAAAGCAGTTAATCTATCGATTAAACACTGAGATAATTTATGCAAAATTTTCCTTAATGAAATCAAATAACATCGCGCGTTTCAATTCTCTTTATTATTAGCGTTATGAATGTAGACTATAAAATGTTATCATTAATTAAATAATGACATAACATAATTTAAACGTGTTATCTTATATTATTTGTGTTATCTGTGTATGTAATAATAAATATAGACTTCGACACGGCTGCACGTTAGAGACGGCGGGTAATTTGTCGGGGTAATGGAAAAATTCCATGGAAATCGGTCGCTCGCCTCCTGTCTATTGAAAATCTATACTACTCTATCTATATACGGACGAGTATATTTATCTAAATAACAATTAATTGGTTTCAAATTGTGTTTCTATTTAGTCGAGATTTCATAACATGCCACTAAGATTGTGTGACATGACTCGGCATGTTTTGACAACTGAGATACAACCAGTACTGAGGTAGAACCGGCGGAAAAGTTTAGTTCATCATTTCTGGTTTCTATATGAGTGCATCGATCGATCTTCTTAGTTTTATCGTAATTATGACATTTGCCTTTTGTTTACGAGACCAAATTTCAGTTTAAAACATTATTCTTATCTCTGTTTTGTCAAAGACAGGGATGACAATTTGTTTATAACCAACGGTTAATCTTCATAAAGTTTATCTCTAATTAATGGGTTATCCATGGAAGTAAAAATATAAAGAAATAAAAATGTTCTCGCTTTTGTACAAAACAGTTTAAATAAAAATCGTGGTTATTTCTTTGGACAAAGTGAGGATTCTTCCGCGACAATGTGGGTATTAGAGATGCCCATACAAAGCTCGCCGGAGCTCGGATCCTGGTGGACAGAATGAGCCCCGGACCTTATAAGATTACCTCGCACAAAGGCCGGCTTATTGATACAGAACTACAATATTCGAGGCTTAACTTTTGCGTTTTCAATAAGAGGAAAGCGTAGACATTGCACAGCAAAGGAAACCTCAATAAAACATATAACATATATCTATAAGTATATGTCATATTTCGTCTCTTATCAAAGTGACAAAATAACGTGACTATAAATTCTTATGTGTGTATCTACACAGGTAAAT